CTTTACTACTACTACACTGGGTCTGGGACTGTCACGTGCATCAACATCTAGGATGTAGTCACAAAAGACTTAGCATTAAATTCAATCATTTATTATTAAACAAATTACCTAGGTAGAAATAACATGAGTGAAGTCAATTAGGTAAATAATTACAGTTTACACAGTTAGATCGACCGTGAATTAGTATCAATACAAGCTTTGGTTGTAAATATTTGGATAAAGGCAAGGAGGGCTTCGTTCAAATTGATATTTGCTTATAAGTAGTCTAAAACCTGTTTTCGAACATTTTTATGAGAAGAATCTACGCCCACGATGTGACATACATACGTCTTTTGATCGGGTTTTGAAGATTGTGCAATTTCAAAGCAGTTCATAGAAACCAATGTGGGAGAGCCATGCTTCAACACGTATGGGTCGGCTCGCCCGGAGTGATACCACAGCTTCACAAAAAATTAGCGTAAACAAGGCTTCCGTTTTGTTTCGCTGTGTAAGGGAGGTTACCGGATGTCCAATTACCCCCACGCTCATCTCCCCAAACCCCAAATCCCCCAATCCTCAAATCCCCAATAGGCCACCAACGTACTTATAACTCCTCTGGAGTTTCGGGTGTTCACGTGGACGAGTCAGGTGAACCGACAGCTCGTTTGCCGGATTGATGCCGTATTCCCATAAAAAACGAGATAGATTCTAGTTTTTTGGGAAAGTTTCATTGTAGTAAAAGCTTCCACGTTAATGGCTTAACAATTAGCATGTATTTATGCCCTTACATTCTTAACGATTGAATACATTTGGACGTGTTAATTGAATATCGAATGTCGGCTTTAATTGTTCGAGTAAAGAAACGTTTCTGTTTTTAATTTCAAAATCAAAATTAATCACATGTGTTTTCACGTTTCGATTTAAGCTGAAGTGATAAAAAGAAGAAAAGGAGTAAAAAACGATAAAAAAGTGCTACGAGAAGATCTGGAGAAACCATACTTTGTAGCAGTAGAACCTCTACTTCAGTTATAACGTCAAAAACAGAACGAATTCAAATCTGCTAGATGCAATCTTAACAGGCAAAAGAATTTAATAATATGTATATTCAAAGAGTATAATAAGTATAAGGGAAATAATATCGAATCGTAGGTGTCAACAATGGTGATAATAACGTTTTTTGTTGAGAAGTCGATTGGAAATTGTGATTTTTTGAGATTTGATTATAGATCTAACCACGATGTTATTAATGTTATTGCGAGTGGTACCTTGTTGCTTGCATTCGTCGTTTCTGTTAACTATACCTAATTTTACTTTTCATTGTAGTATCAAAGATGTTAATGTTCTCTTTTTTTGCTTGAATGACCTTGACGGTCGGTGGAAGCTACAGTCTACACATTCTACCTTCAAATACCAGTAGTGATCGGTACGTGCCGGCCTTAATAGTTAACGCACTCAGGTGATATTCTGTAGCCGTATCAACCTGCACTTTCAAATGACCATTCTGATTTCTCCGCTTTCATTGCCTGGTAGTTTAGTCTGGAAATGTTGTTTCCAACCTTTTTGGGATCCTCAAAATGTCATCAGATTATAAGCTTTCGGTTTGCGGTGTTAGAAAACATTTTTCATAGCATGTCATAGCAGAAGAAGGCAGAAATGTACTGCCTACCTTGTCCTATCTGTAAAAATTTAAAAGCGAAAATGGAAGACTTGGGGCTTGTCCTTAGGTTAGTAATCGGACGTAAATTGTATAGGAACATAAACAAAACGTCATCTCATTGTTAGTTATTCATTGATACATACATAAAACAATTTCTAGAGTGTTTATTTACTAATATTGTTTATACACGACCCTCACCTATCCTTTTTCTGTCAGTCATAGGTCGATCCTTTTAACAAATTCATTATTTATGCATATTAATATACCGTGGGGTCTGCGGTGATCCCGATTGGTTTGACATTTCGAGGGTCGAAGATTGACAAGGATGGTAATATTTTCCGCTTTTTAAAAGCGGGTACTAGGAACGGATAAATGATAGGAGCTATTCGTTTTCCGCGACGGATCAGCATTTGCAAGTCACGAATTTTCTTTGGTAATGGAGTAATGGCCTTCGGTCTTTATTGTGAGCAAAATATCGCGAAGACTGATGTTATCGTGTCACATTTGCATTTCGTTTTATTTTCGACCATGTAACAATGCTTTTTGGTATATGCTTTTAACTTCCGAATATTCCAGTTATTTTTTGTCCGTCTACTATCTTAGAACATTCTACAAAACTGAAGATACAGTTGGCTTGACATGGTTTACATTTTTCGCAGATTTTCATGTGACCATCTTTCTTCTTTATGATTTTTTCCTACGTCGTTATTTGGACTTTCGGGTTCTCTAAATTGGGTACAATGGACATTCCACGTGGTTCACTAATAAGTATTAACCACTAATTATCTACGTCTTACAGTTCCCTCTACATCGCTACATGCATTACAACGATTAACCACACCGCATTCGGAAACCGCCTTCAAACATTACGTGAGATTGAAATCACGGAACAATACTAATAGTACTGACTACAAACATAATTTTTTGCTAATTAAATTTATTGTTTCGTACATGTTTTTATGAAAAACCTAGACAGCAGCAACTGGTTACGAAAGACCGCAACAATATCTGGGAAGTTGAGAAACATGCTTCCGTTCCTTATAAACGTTATGTTACGCTCCACACGCGAGCGAAGATGTTGCTGTTAAGGTCACCGAATTCATTATTTTAGTCGCAATTTTTAGACAATTTTTGGTAGATAGACTGTAATAAAGTACTAAAAGAAACTAATAGAATCGTAATAAACAATATCGCGAACTGTACCGTTTCTACTTTTTAGTTTATATTATGTATTATAGTTAGTTATATTCTTCAATAGCTTCGTTTCGAAGTACATATCCAGGTAGGCTATTCTGTAAGATGTCAATTCTCTAAAGAAATCTGGATCGCGGTCCGCTATGTCTTTGGATGTGAGAATAATCTCGACCAATGACGGGCGAGAATGCAATAGAGGTCACTTTGACACGAGGAGAGTTCGAATTGACATCTTACAGTATTCTGTAATATCTGGAAGGACTTTTATTTAGTTGCTTAATAGGGATAATGAAAAATCCCCCAATTCTTAAAAGACCCCCAACACACTTGTACTTCTTTTGGTGTTGCAAGTGTCCATGGGTGTTACTGATTGCTTACCATCAGGCAATCCGTCAGATAGTTTACGGTAAAACAATATAAAAATAACCATACAAAAATATACCATTACGCATTTTTTTGGGGAAGGAAATGGAGAGTGTCAGACTGTTACTGACTAAAAACCACCCTGTTCCTACTTCTGCCCTTCGAGCCGGAGCCCCGGTAACCCAACGCATAACTACATATTTAACTTTTAAACTGGCAATTGTTTCCTCCAACATATTTAAATAATGGCAACACTATGCCATATTATAGCAGTGAAACAAGGTAACTAGATACCTAATTAATGCAATTCTACCAGACATTTTTAATTGAAACACTTCATGCTTAACAAACATGTGTAGAAGGTAACGCAGGTAACTGTGCATGAGCAGCAAGCACCTAGTAATTAAGTGATGAACACATTCATTCATTTCATATTTCATTAAAGTACTTGTTATGTAGGTACAGTTATTTTATTTTAGAACAATAGGTTGCGGTCACCGGTGACCGCATTTAATTGTGTCTATAATGACGGTACTCAACGATTTAAATACAATTGAAAATGAAATAGATTACAAAACTGGATTTTGGATAGCTATGTTTTTTTTTTTATTTAGAGAACAAACAAGAGCTAAGTTCTGAGTAAGTACATCACATACAACATTGTTAACAAACTCCTTAAGTACAAAAACACATTATACTTAATGTTAAGAGAAAGTTGTTACAGTTCTGCCAAAGTTAGGTATGAAAGTGTATGAGTCTTAATTAGTTTATACACCACTAGTATAAAAGCATATTAGTGAATAACTACTGCTGATAAAAGCCAGCAGTAAAATAAAGTACCTATTGAGCGAAATTTTAAAGGAGTTATAAAGTTTTGCTGTCTTTGAGATACAGTTTCATGTGCAGCAGCTGAACTGCGCTCCAGCAAATGCTATCCTTTAGATTATGAACTAATTTTGAAACATTTTGTTTGGAACTTATGTCTATATTTTATATCTTAGTATATCTACAGATAATCAAGTTATTGAGAGCCATAAGTGAGTACTTCCTAACAACCTTTGTTTTTAAGTATGACTCGCTTCATTCATCAATTGCTTGGCAGGTTCATCTTAGAAAAATATTTTTTTAACTACAATAAGCAAAGATACAATAAATAATACACATTATCCAAGGACAAGGAATCTATGAATAAAACCTTTTTACTACATTTCTCTTGATAACAAACATGCACAGATTATAGAAATCAAGTTTATAATATGATTTATATCCTCTATGACTCAGTAATTTTGTCATAGTAATTTGATAGTGGGGCGTTGACTATTTGCAACATTTAGCTGTAATGTAATATGGTTTCAAAACCAATGATTACTCATGTGTTGCTCTTTCTGATGAGACAATAAAATGTAGTATTTTAAGAAGTCGGTAAAATACTGGTTTGAATGTTAGGTGCTTTAGTTTTCTGTTTAGATTAGTTTAAAACTGAAAATAAATGAAAGGCTCTAGTTGGAATCAGATTTAAACTTTTCAATTGATAAGAAAAAAATATGTAAGTATTTAAAATCAAAGTTTTTTGCATTCTAAAGGCCAAGAACAATGTAAGACAGCTGTAGTTTTGCCCAAAATAGATCTAAAACTATGCAAATAAACTTTTTATCAGATTCTTCTTGCATACTAACTTTGTTTATGCTGCTAAAAGATAGTAAACAACAATCTCGGTCCAATTATGTAGATGGCGTTTTGATAAACAACACAACTGAATAGTTTACGTAGTTTGTTCGTATGTGGGATACTGGCACTGTTTACTTACGGTTCTGGACTGTACTGAGCACCTCCGAAGAAGCCGTGCCTGTCCGGCTGCGTCGTCACCGACGAACATATCGATGTTGTGTCCCCCTGCTCGCTTCTATCACCTCCAGCACTTTTCACACTCTTCTGCAGCGACATATTTAACAACAATCCACACTTTTTCTACCTTCTGCTCACTACCATCACTTACACAGCAACCACCACAGTCGACCGCGAAGTGGGCGTGCAAATTAATTACAAAACATGTATGCAAGTGCCCCGCAAGCTCACGCCCGTCCACAATCACACAACTTCACAATACAATTGGCACAGAGAAACCGCTGCTGTGCACATACTCCGGCGACCGCAACATAGCCGAGAACTGTGGCGATTATGGTAACAAGACGTGCCCAGAATAAATACAAACTAATACTTTCCTTATCAAAACTCAACGTGTGGGTGGGCGAGTGAAGTGAATTGAATACAAGCAAGAATGTACGTCATTTTTAGTGATGCGACTTGCATCAATACATAAAATATTGACATTAAAAATTAAAATGACGGTTACCGGTTTTATCTTCTGTACAGTATTTACTACATTTTTTTGTTTGATTGAGGATTATTCGTATTCTCAAAATGTTCCACCCTCGGCAGAAAAAAGAGATAAGTACTATATCATGACAATAACCAGAAATAAGGAGCTCTACATTATTTTGAAGTATTTCAAAGCTTTTTTCCAACATAGGTATATATGTGTAACTATCATAATTTCTATAATATGTTGCAGAGGCAGTTGTTTTTTATAGAGGTTTAGATGCCCAACCATCATCATTGATCATTACCATATCACATTAACGGTAAATCATACCAGGTCCGGAAATACTTCATCCCTAGCAGCAGGTCCGGATATTGACTTTTCTATTATTTGTCATTTTGACAATGATAGAAGTCAATCAATGTCAAACATCTGTCAAAGTGTCAAGTCAAATCAAATACACTTATTTCTAGAACTTAGGTTATTCTCGATTGTAATATTCAAAACATTAAAAAGTAATTATGAATAACATCAAAAGATTACTAACAGCGCCCAGCTTGTCTAGATCAAGTTCAACAGCTCCAGCAGAATTTATAAACAGAAACCCTCGGAACTTGGAAAAAATAAGAATCGCTCGCAAACCTGATGGTTATCACTTGGAAGCTCCAGGCAGGAAATTCTGGCATAAGTGTGTATAATAATATTGAATTTCGTTGTAAAAATTAATATAGATTATAAGGCGATCTGAAATTAGTAATTAAATGAATAAATCTTTCCTGTATCGAAAAATAAATAAAAATTTGATTATTCAATTCCAGGCTCACACTAACAGCAAGCAACCGCACAGTAACAGCCCAAGTAGTCCATTTCGTGAATGGTCCAGTAATAGAAGCTAAAACCTCAGAATGGGCTCTACGTAAACAACTCTACAGCATCAAGGACACATGCGCATACATCAATTTAGGCAAAGTCTTCGCTCAACGGTGTTTAGAGAGCGGTATTACTGAGATGTACTGTGATATAAAGCCAGTTGAAGGTGGGAAAGTCGACAGATTCATCAAAGAGGTTGTCAATGGTGGCGTCAAATTGGAAGAACCTGAAGTCTACAAGAAACCAAGTCCATGGGACTTACTTCGACCAGAAAAGCCATGGGAGGTTGCTGAGGAATAAAATTTTATTATAGGTGTAATTAAGTAGTAAGTAGGTAAATAAAAAGAAAGTAAATAATATTTAATGAAAATTATTCTTTTTTTAATTTATGTTTGTTATCACTCCTTTTTTTGTAACGCAATGGAAATCCTCTTGCAAATTGATTTCCTTCCTCGAGTGGTGCATGTGAAACGATGTTAATGCCTACTTCCACCCAACCTAAGTTATGTTTACCTTTTTTTTTTTTTTTGATGGGAAATTCTCATGGACTGCCTCCGCCTGGGGAAAGGGGGAGGGGCGTGCCGGACTCTTACCGGCTAAAACCACCCCAGTGTCTCCTCACACTTGCGCGCGGGGCTGCGGGAGTCCAAATTCATTATGTTATGTTATGTTTACCTAAGCCTACTCTAAAGACCTAAGAATCATACTTATTAGCACCAATTAACTGTACTAGTAGGTAGGTAGGTCTAGGTTCTATTTGCCAGACAAACAAATGATTTACCCTCTTGTTTACTCTCTTTTTTATGGATAATCATTGCATGAATCAGACCTGCATTTGACAAATTTGTTGTTAGACTTTTTACAGGTAGGCATCTCTATTAAGCACACTGATAATTTTGTATACTGGAGAGTTTAATTTTAATATTGAATAGAGGGAAGTAATTTAAACAATTTGAATTTTTTGTTCTTTTATAATTAGGCAGTTTATTTAATGAGGTTGAATATAAATGAAAAATAAAAACTCTGGCCTTATTTCATTCAGAATGTCAGGTGTTCTGTCAGAACAGAGCAAACAAATTACTATTATTTTACTTTCGTTCGTATTAATCGTTTTTATTGTTCTTTTGAAGATTTTTATTTAATGTTTTCCTATGTTTTTTGTTACTTGTCCTAAATAAATGGATTTCGAAAGATTCAAAGCCAGAATGAAAACAGTTTTGGTTCAAAGAAAATCATACAGAACGATTCGTATACAAGGAAAGGTAATTATACAACAAGATATAGGTATAAATAAAAAAAATATAATTTTTCGTATTGAGTAAAACCTATAACTGAAATACCTAGACTTATTTAATATTTATCATTTTCTTTTCAGCCTGTTATTAGCAAAGCGATGAAAGTAATTAAGTTTATTTCTGGATTATATCAGCGCGGTATTAGACTTCATCGTGATATTTTATAAGCTATGAATATTTTTGATTTTTTTAATAAATGACTGTGTCGATATATGCTTACTTTTAGTTTTATTTTGTATGTGTTATATTCTGAATATATGCAGTTCAAAGTCAAAACAAAAATACATAATTATATAGCAACATAGGTACTCGAGTCCTAAAAATATTCATTGAAGAATTCGAGGAGGAATTTTAAATCCTATTTTATGTAGGTAGGTAAGAGATTATTGTGTAGAAAGAGAAATCTAATAGGCGTGTAGGAGAAATACGGATAATATAAAATAGGATCAGATTGTTTTATACTTTCTATTATTATTCAATTGTATACTATGACTTTATACTCCTTTTATTTTGCGAAAATACATTTTAGACTCCTTCAAACAGGTAGGTTTCGTTTCGGAACGTAAACCTCATAAAGTATCTATTGCAATCTTATCAATTTCTGAACGTCACGTCGTACTTCAAAATACTACAAAAATGGAAAAATCTCTATACTTATTAATACAAATTTGTTGATTTTGAAGCATCGTATTAAAAGCTAATTATTAAAATTAAATATATTTTTATAAATTTGGAATTAACTATGAAAATAATTCGGAAATATTTCTGCTTTTATTAAAAAGAAGGTCAACGTGAGCTTGTACGAAAATGGCGGAAAGTATGATGGCGTCTATTTCTTGTGAAGAGGCAACGACAACTCTATATTTATCTCTTTCTATCTCATGGAACTTCTCGTAAAGCACTGGGCACGCGTAGTGATCAATATGTCCACGTGATCTGTCGTCAGTCGACTCGCGTAATTGCAAATGCAAAATGTACAGGAAAGAAACGTTTGTGTTACAATGAAATCATAAATATTTTGTTATTGTAAGTTGTAGTGTTGTAGTTTTAAAATGCCTGCGTCTATTGGTGTCAATTTACGTGTAACTGGCCACTGCAGCCAAGGCGGGAGAAAGTATATGGAAGACTTGTTTTCCGTTGCTTATCAACAAACTGAAGACGAGAGAGACTTGGAGTATGCTTTCTTCGGAATATATGATGGCCATGGCGGGAGTGAAGCTGCAGCCTTTGCGAAGGAGCATTTGATGGACTCTATCGTGAAGCAGAGGCAGTTCTGGTCGGACAACGATGAGGATGTACTGAAAGCAATCAGAAATGGTTACATGTTGACCCACTTGAACATGTGGAAAGAGTTAGGTAAACACCAAATTTCACGTTATTGAATAACTTAATTAGGATGTCGTGATGTAAAACTTAGCTTTGCCTATTATCAAGGATAGTTCCAAGCGACAGAACCGAATGTTTAGCTTGACCTTGTTGAAGTTATTCATAATTTTTTCTTGAGTGGTTTGACATTGAGTTTACAGAAGTTTTTCGAATGGTCATTGTCGTTATTGTCTGTAATATAGCTTTGTTAGATAATGGCAAGTGAAACAAATTATGTTTTGCTAAGTTTTTTTGGGAATCCCACTCACGTTACCCAGGTGAAAGCAGTTTTACCAGTTCGAGTTTTTATATTGGCTCAAGTTTCCACTTACGAAAATGTTATGTATAAGGTCATTATAGCAACTTTAAATGTATTGAGAACTTACAGAGATTGTTAAAATCTTACCTAATTCCAATGAGAATAAAAATTCCACATATATTCCATACAAGTTCTAGAATGTTATTGTTTTGTCTTCCAAAGGCTTTATGTTCTTTAATTTCTGTTATCATGAGTACATACATAGTTCTTTAAAGAAGTTATACAAGGCATATCAATGGTAAAACCATGTAAACACTATATAAAGCTGTATGCAAACTTAGCATATTATTATGAAGCATTCAGTAGTTGGAGAATTGAGAATGCTGTTATAAAATCTTAAAATAATAGTATTACAAAACAAATAATTCTGGCTATAGTTTGAAGTATCTGATTGTATAAGAGACTTCTCGGCTAGTTGCTATATATATGAAAACATTCAAAAAGTTTGTTAAAGAACATGAAAAGGTTACAAACAGACTTAGATTCCCATAATTATAATATCTGTTGGGGTTTGCAATTGGGATCACCATCACTTATAATGTCTCATTAGAAAAATATTATTTAGCAAGTTATGAATCATACAATTGAGGCAAAGGTATGAAGATAATAATATAATCATATTTATACTGAACTTAATCTGGATAAAGTTTATTTACATGTTTGTTTGTTGTTGAATGATAACAGGATAAACTCGTGTTAACTATTGGTAACAATAAAAACTGAAAGTTTCATGAACTGTTGTTCTTTTAACCTTTATCAGGATATTGCAAGTCAGAAACCTTAAAGGAAATTGCCAGTATGAATCACAGTAAAAGGTTTTAATACCTTTATTTTTACATTTTAAAAGTACTATTTTGTGAGTACTCAATATAGGTTTTGTAAAAGTCTAGACCGCATACCATTTTGAAGTTGTTGTATGATTGGTATGAATGTTAAAGATTTTTGATAGAAAAAGTAAGAGCCTTGTTGTAAACAAAACTTGCTCGTTATTTCTTAAAAGTTAATCGGTAAAATATTTGCTGAGAAAAGCTTTTTTGAGTACTCAAATATTTATTAAACTGTCAAACACCAAGCGGTCACCGGTGACCGCAACCTATTGTTCTATAATTGTGTCTATAATGACGGTACTCGACGAGTTAAAATTGAGATGAAAGCTTTTACTGATATTCAAATAAATAAAAATCATGTGTTTAAACATTTTATACTATGAGTAGAATACAATTCACATTTGTATCATAACATTCTATGAAAACGTTTAATAAAAAAATATGTTTTATTACAGAGAAATGGCCAAAAACTGTAACAGGGTTACCAAGCACTGCAGGTACTACGGCAAGCATAGCTTTTATACGCCGTGGAAAAATATATATTGGACATGTTGGGGATTCAGCGATTGTCCTTGGTTACCAGAAAGATGGTGAGTAACATTTCTGTTATATAAAATAAAAAAGTATTTTTTAATTGTAACTCTTTGTTTCCAAGGAAAGTTTAACCCGTCATGTTTCTGAACGTGTGTTCTGTGCTGGTTTCTAAAGGAAGATCCTCATTCTCATCCTCTTATCATTCTTAGGATCGAGAGACCTTCGGTTCCATATTCTTTGTTCTTTCTTTTATTCAATTGACTTGCATGAACTTCTACAACTTTGTCCATACCTCCAATGTGTCCTTTCACCGTTTATTTATATTTCTGTTATTTGACAATTAACTCTCAATAGTGATTGAACCAGTTACTTATCGTTGACACAGGGAGGCAATGTCCTCTTTCCAAAATATCTTACCTTATGGTTTCCTTACAACTGTATTTTTGAGCATATGCATACCTTTAGTAGGATAGGTACTTGTGACATTAATATTCTCCAACAAAGTCTCTTGGCTCGACTTACTTTGCATTTCGCTTTACCGCCCTTTGTGGCAAATAAAGGATTCTACCGTTTTATTGGTAGAATATTTCGTCATTGGTGCGTCCGCAGAATTGCTTGATGAATAAGAATCATCATTTTCAGTTGTACTGCTGACGAATCGTGTAGGGTAGGCAACAGAGCCGTATTCTCTCTAAGGCATGTACCTAGGGCCAGGTTACAGAGGCAGTGTATAGATGGGGGTATAAAAAAAATCAAATACAAAGAGAAAGCTAAAGTCCGAAAGAAGCAGCAGAAATTCATGTCCTTTTCGTTTCTCCACGTGATAGTAGTGACTGTGATAGTGATACACAATATTATACCATATACAATACAAGTTTGACTGTCAATCGTTTTAAAGTTCCGTTTTATCTAATTTGAGGTTGTTGTTTTGGAAATATATGTATTACTTTTAATATGAAGAGTAGCATTATGATTGGGAACCCATTTTTAACCACCATAACGTGCGAAACGATACAAAATCCAACACGTTGTACAGAAATAAAACATGAAACTAGTTAAGTTACGATACTCAGAAAAAATTACGTGAGTAGGCCATAAATTATAATTGACAAAAATATCTTCATTATTCGTAGGTTGTGAGGAGTGGGCTGCAAAACCATTGACATCAGACCACAAACCAGAATCCACAACTGAAATAGAGCGCATCCAAAGATGTGGTGGGAAGGTTGTCTCAAAGGCAGGAGTCCCACGAGTTGTGTGGAACAGACCACGACTAGGACACAAGGGTCCTATCAAGAAGAATACACCTATGGATGAGATTCCATTCTTAGCAGTAGCAAGGTCACTTGGTGACTTGTGGAGTTACAATCCTCAAAATGATGAGTTTATAGTCAGTCCCGACCCTGATGTCGGTGTTTTGACTATAGATCCGTCCAAATTTCGGTAAGTTTTTTCCGATTTATTATGGCAAGGTCTATCTAATAAGTTTTTAAATCATTGTTAACTCATATAATTTCAACTACAGTCTTATTTTTTACTGAAAATGTCTACATGTTTTATTGTGGAGTATAATAGTATGTTTTCCATAATTCCAGATGTCTGATATTCGGCACTGATGGCCTGTGGAATATGATCTCACCAGAGGGCGCCGTCAGTTTAGTTCAGGCGACAGAGCGGCACAATGAAGCCGCTCTCGTAGGTGGGAACGGAAACCAGCCGAGGGACTGGTTGAACCCTTCCAAGAGTCTAGTGGATCATGCTCTGGAGAGGTAAGAAAATGTGGTGGTTTAATTTTGTATACTTTATTATAGATTAGTTTTTAAGATGTGTAATGGTATGGTGTATTATTTTGTGTAGATGGTCCAACACCAGAATGCGCGCGGACAACACGTCCGTGGTGACGTTGATGCTGGACCCGCCCGGGCCCCCGCGCGCCACCGTGCTCCGCTCTCGCAGCAGCGCGCAGCGGCCGCAGCAGCCCGCCGCCCCCGCCGCGCCCGCCGCGCGACCGGACCCGCCGCCCGGCGCCGTGCCGCAGAACGGGCTCACCATCATGACGCGCTACTCGGACGCGGAGCGCGCCGCGGCCCCGGCCTCCGCCCCCGCCACGCCGACCGCGCCC